TGTATATTTGACATTAAGCATAATTAAATGAATCTCTGAAATGTCCTGAATTACAAATTTCATAAATCTACATGGAAAGATAAAGACCAAAATTACAGCAACATTTGTATCTACATTTCATAAGATGCATGAGATTTAAAAGTTTCCAGCCTGAAATGGATATGATGGAGAACATCAAAGGCCAAATAATAACTAATTTAATGGAAGAAGAAGACCTCCATAGCAAAGATATCAACAGCAAAGAATTTTTCATGAGGTCAACATTGAAGAACCCCCAATAATGGAAGAAGGGGTCAGATTAGCCATGGCTTCACTGCAGGACCAAATCTGGAAAACACCTGAATGACCTACACATTGGACAAGATCACTTAAATTCCAACATCAGAAAAAAAAACCCTGGCACAGTGTAAACTATTGTGCAATTTCCCTCACATCACAGACAAAGCAAGACAATTATTGAAATTACAGATCATTGATAAATGAATAAAATATATACAGGATCGAACATTTCACCCTTCTCTTATTTCGATGACATTATTAACACAAACCGCAGTGTCCTGTCCTTTCCATTCCGTGGCGCTGTCGGTTTTAAAGAATATCCTTAAAAGTTAGGTAGTTAGCAGTAGTTCTCAGTGCCAACCTGTTTCGTGTTAAATATGTAAGTAAAATTTCATCTTAAGTACGCTTGCTAACAATATCGATCTTTCGAAAGTATGTACAATTTTCTAAAGTTCTAGAGAATTAGCTAGGTCCAAGTAAGAAAACTTAACTTGCTAGTTAGCTAACAGTGTTGATCTCTGCTGGGAGAGACCGATGCACCGTAAAATGTGGACGGAGCCGCAGGCCTGTATACTTAACTGATGTCTGTTTGGGCGTTGTTTATTTTATACTTTCAGACTTTTTTTCTTCTAGTGTAATATGAACTTTCAGTATTAATTGGTTAACTTTTCCTGTTGTTGTTGTTACTGTTATTACACAGTAAGTTTGCTAATTTAGCTCGGCTAGATATAGCGCAAGCATGCTAATTAGCACAACAAGTCAGATGCATTTAACTGTCACTTAAAGCCTACGAAATAATTGCTATATGCTTTTGATATGCGGCCTAAATTTCACATGTGAACATAAATCTTGTGAATCGAATTATTTCAGGGAAATCGGGGTCTGCACTTTTCCGGTTTGACGTCGTAGTCTAATAACACGGTACTTGATTTGTGAGACTTTAAAAAAGGGGCTTTGCTAGAGCTCAGCGAATCTGTTCACTGTTTATTTTTTTTATTAGTTACCACCAAATGTTTTAGGTATGTTTAATTTATTGTATTCAGTTTTCGTATACCACTTCGGGAACATCTAAAAGCGGCGTAATTGCTGAAGCTCGCTGTAAAGTGAACTGTTGTCTGTGGTTGAGTGTAGTGCATTAGACTAGAGCTGTGTCCCAGCTTGTTTTATTACAAAAGCGCAGAATGGTTTGTGTGTGAATGCTGATCAGTTTAAAGACAGCTTTTTAAATATGTCCTCACCACTTGCGCCCTCTTCTGGCAGCATGTGCAATTCCATATCAGGTACTGAGTGATTTATAAAATGTCTTGATAATTCAGTACATTCCTTTCAGCGTGTTTGGTAAATTTAAGTGATTCTGATTCTTATAATGGAATTTGTTAGTCGTGTAAGTTAAGTTTTTATAGCCTCACTGTTGATACTTGAGACATGCACACTGTTTTATTGCATATATATATATATATATATATATATATATATATATATATATATATATATATATATATATATATAT